TGTTATGTGAATCTGAAGAAGAACTTACAGATAGGTATCAGACCTATGGGCTAATATCAGACTTGATCTGGACTGGGCTGGGATGGTTTCTTCATATACAATTACTCTCTATATAAAGTGCTTTCTTATGCACATATAGTGTCTATGAATTTGTTTTTCTCCAGTCTACCCTGACTAACACAACATAGTTATAAAGAACAATCATAAACCTAAATGCACCAAAGAACAGAGCAACATTGAAAACAAAGAAAATCACTATTAGTAATGTAAGGAGAACTTGAAATGCAATTATAGTGGAAGAAATCAAGATGCTTACCTCAAAGGGACAAACTTTTGTGTGAAAAAAGGATTTTTTTAAATGACATAAGAACATAGAGGCATCAAGGTACTAAATTTGAACAGAATATATTCCCTTGTCTTAAAAAAAACAACATTTGGTTTTGTATGTTCAAGGAACATTAACAAAAATTAAACAAATATGTGGCCACAAGATAAACCTTAACAAATTTGGAAGGAAAATAAACTTATAGACCACATTTTCTGGCTAAAATCATTAATATTAGGAGAATATAAAGGTGTATCACTAAAACTCTAGAACTTTACATTTGAGGAACATATTTCTTGATAATACTAATGGCATAAGAGATAAAAAAATAACTACAAATTATCTTAAAAGTAATGTAAAAATTCCTTTCATTCTCAAGCTGTTATACATTGGAACCTGTACTGCCTTTGTTGTTGTTTTTATTTAGAAAGACATGAAAAGCAAAATAACTAAATTGTTATCCTTGGAAATTAGAACAAGAGAAATTAACCACAATAAATTATTTTTGTTGCATTGCTAGGTGCCATTAACTTGACCCTGTCAAAACAGGATGAAAATGTGCCCAGTTCTACACCAAGCTGTGTTTGAACCCTTGTCATAGCCACCATAGCAGCCCCTTTCATTAGCGGTCTTGCTCTCTTCACTGACCTGCTGTACCGATCATGACATCCTTCTCCAGAGATGATCCCCGTTGAGAGTGTGTCCAAAGTAAGGAAGAGAAAGCCTCATTAGTTTTTTTCCACGGAACACACTGACTCTACGTCTTCTAAGACAGATTTGATCATTGTTCTGGCAGTTCATAGTATATTCAGTACTCTTTGCCAACACCATCATCCAGTTCTTCTTCATTCTTCCCTATATATTTTCTCAGCTTCTGCGTGCATATGGGATAATTAAAACTACCACAGTTTGGGTCATGCCCACCTTAGTCTTCAAAGTGGCATCTTTGCTTTTGAACACCGTATTAGGATCTTTTGCTGCACATTTACACAATTAAGTGCATCATAGAATTTCCTGACTTCTGCTTTCATGGGCATTGATTCTGGATCCAAATAAAATAAAATTCTTGGCAAGTTCAATATTTCCTTCCTTTATCAGCATGTTGCTTATTGATCATATTGATAGGAGTTTTATTTCTGAAACAAACTAAGAAGGAATTAAGATAGGAGCCCAAATCACAAACCTAGCATGTAAAAAATTTAAACATAAACACTGCCTGCTAATCTAGGCAAATTCAAGTATCAGATCTGCCAGTGATCAGTATACACGGAAATAAAGAACCTTGGTAGCCAAAGTGTTGAGCTCCTAACTGAAAGGCGGTTTGAATCCATTAGCTAATTTGTGGTAGAAAGAAGTGACAGTTTGCTTTTGTAAAGATACATACCCTGGAGGCTCTGTGAGAGAGCTCGCTGTCTCACAAGGTCTGTAAGTTAGAATCAACTCGTTGGCAGTGGGTTTGGGGGGATTTAATATGTAGAACTGGAATTAGCATATAATTTTTTCTGCAGGGAATTTTGGTTCTGGTCACTTATTCTTCCCTTCTACTTCATTTTACTTTAGGGAACTATGGTGGAAAAGTGGGCTTAGTGTTGGTCAAAGATTTACAGTCTTGAAAGCCCATAGGAAAAGTTCTGTGTCCTAGAGGGTCATTATAAGTCTAAATCATTTTGTTGGCAGGGAGTTTGTGTTTTGGGTTTTAGGACCTCACTTATTATTAAAATTTCCCATCTACTGCATTTATTATAATCTACCTTAAATTACATTTTGGAAGCTCAGTGTTGAGATTAGAAGAGGAAGAGATATGCCCCAAACGGTAGATAACCATAAAAGTGGAGGGAATTCATGTTCTTGCTACCTCCAGTTGAGACTCTTACTATAATAAAAACTTTCCTGAAAGGAAACTTATAAATCTTGGGAATACTGAATCACTGAGAAAAATCTCATGTAAAAAAGACAAACAAGATCCCCAAACGTAACTAAATAATATGCATTAGTAGAAATTATAGAATAAAACATATATTAAAAATATTGTATTTTAAGATGATCTTTTCATTCTCTTTCATCATCAGACTTCTCTAGAAGATAGTTATATCATTGGTACCAGTTCTCAGCCTCTGAGTTCTAATTTAAAAAAATACGACTTCTTGTTCAGCCCCAAGGTGGACATTTTATCACTGAAGTTTGGGTAATCTCAATATTATTGGTTACTGACTACAGGGAAGCTCTTGCTTAGTCAACAGCTTGGTATTTTTTTCCCCTTTAACTATTTGTGTTGGTACATTTCAGTACATTTCAATGATGATGTGTGGAAAAAAGATTATTTGTGGAGATATAATATTGTCATTTTTTCTGTTTGAAAATATGTAAAACTAAATTATGATAAGAGAATAGACATGTTTGGCCTTTTAAGCATTTAATGTTAATGGTGTGTGTGGTGTGGTGGTAACTGCTGCACTGCTAACCGAAAGGCCAGCAGTCGACTTTCATAAAGATTCCAGACTTAAAGGGGGAGAAAGACAACAATGGTGGCTGTATAACCCACCACTCACAAGCACACTGCGGGTAATGAACAACAAATGTGGGTGAAGGGATACAGCAGACAGTGTCAGATATGGGATATATATATGTATATATGTAATTTATCAATCACGAGGGTGGGAGGGTGGGGAAGGAAGGGAAAAAGAGGAGTTGATAATGACTCCAGTAGAAAGATAATGCTTTGAAAATGATTATGGCAACATATATACAAGTTTGCTTGGTGTAATTTATGGATTGTTATAATACCTGTAAGAGCCCCCAATAAAATGATTTACATTTATATTGGATCTCTGTGAATAGGAATTGACTCTTTAGTAACAGGTGTGGTTTGTCAGTTGGTTTAGATAAAACATGAGAAAGGGAGAAGGGACTTAAACATTGGATAACATCTACTATAATAAGTTGTAATCTGTGCCTGCTGCATTTATGTTGGTTTTGAGGTCATTTGAATTTTAACAGACCCAGAAACTACTAGGAATAATAGAATCAGCTCTGGTTTAAGTTGTATTTACTGAGGTTTTTAGTTGTATTTGGAGGTATACCATACAGCATAATTGCCGCTATACAACACCTTTTTGTGTAATTTTCCCCAATTTCAAATTTATGATAATTGAGTTTAATGTTTTAATTTGTTCAGCTTATTTTTCCTCTATGCAGGTGAGCTGGATAAATTATTTTACTTTACTGTTCATTTTTCCTTTTGATAATGTTAAACTGCAAAAACAAAGTACCAGTTTCAATTCTGTTGTCAATACAATTCTGTTGATGAGTATCTGGAAGCTTAATCTATTTAATCTTGAAACCAAATTATTCTCTTGGCCCTCACATCACTTCAAATCACTGTCAAATGAAATGTAATAGATTTTGTTTTTGTCTTGAACCTTGCTTAGCTATTGACCATAATTTTTATATATCAGCCTTTTAAAAAAATGTCCTTTAAGTAAATGTGTTTCCTTCTTCTCAGTCCTTCTCCCAGACAACGGGCTCTTCTGTGACATTTATGAAATAGTCAATAGTTCTTTCTACCACCCATTTCACTGTGCGTGCATCTGCATGGGCTTGTTGTTGGTTTTAAGATGGAAAAAAGGCATGTTGAAGCCTGATCGTGATCATATCTTTGTTATCTCTGCTTCTGTCTACAGGATGAGTATAAGCCAGAAAAAGCCCTGTCTGAGGAGGACCTAAAAAACGCCGTCAGTGTGCACCATGCACTGGCGTCCAAGGCCACGGACTACGAGAAGAAGCCGAACGTGCTGAAGCTCAAAACTGCTGACTGGAGGGTCCTGCTTTTCCAAGCCCAGTATGTGATCTTTTTGAAAATTTTCTTTTTCAATTTGTATAACAAGTCACAGTTTCAGGCTCTACAGGGGAAGTATTTCTCAGTTGGCTTCAAAGTTGCTAGGGGATCACATTGGAGACAAGGACCCAAGAAGACCAGAAACAGACATAGGAATGCTGGGTTCACATATTTTGTCTACTGAAAAATAGCCCCGTAGTTTGTAATTAGATGTCCAGTTCCTCACCAGTAAAACCACAAGTTTTAGTAGACAAATTCTACCACACAGTGAATAAAATGGGCCTGGATTCAAATCACCGTTTCCTAGCTATGTTAGTCTGGGTTCCCTTAGAGACACAAAGCCAGTGATGCTGGTATGTGCATGTCTATAGAAAGAGACATCAAGAAGTGGCTCATACAGTTGTAGGAGTGGAGATGTACGCTGGAGGCTTCTCCTAACTGGTGTAGCTACAGGGGCTGATGAAAAGAGAGCAGAGAGCTGCAGCAGAGAGAAATACCACGGGCTTGTAGATGCAGAGCTGGGAGAACCCGGGATCCGCTTGGAATGAATGCTAGGTCGGGAGTCTGCTGATGGTTCCTGGGATTGGCAGTCAAGATAAAGGAGGTCAGCAAACCAGATGCAGGATCCGGATCCAGCAATAGAAACGAGCTAGCTTCCACACACTGTCATTCTATACTAGGAGTAGGCCACGCTCGGAAGGCACCCTCCCTCCGTTGTGTCAAGGCTGGGACCACATTAAGGAGGTGGTACTCAGCCCTATTCTTCCCACAGCAGCTTGGCTGCTTCACAGAAGATCCATCATGAAGTTGACCACACCATGCTAGATTGTATTGTGGGAGAATCCTGGCCCAGACAAGTTGCTATCAAACCTAATTATCACACTAGCGTTTGTCCTACAATGTGACTTAACCTCTGTGAAACTCAATTTTTCACGCGTGGAGGTAATGATGTTTACTTCTTAGGTTTCTGGCAAGGATTAAATGAGATAGACTATATGAGTTGCCTCACACAGTATCTGGCACATAGACAGTCCTTGGGAAGTTTTTGTCTGCCTTTCCTTGCCCTCCTTGCAGGGCTCTACTACTCCATGATCCTACTGGAGGGAAAAGGTAAAGCAGGCTGTGAACAGTGGAACAGTGTATATGCCGCCTTAGCCAGGGATTCACTGACAGCAGGGTTTCACTGCAGCAGGGGATCACTTCACCCAGTGCACTGAGTCCATGACTTGAGAAATGTTGACTTTTTAGAACCCAATAAATAAGATAAGGGCACACATAGAAGTATAGTATTCATCCTTCATGCCCTGGCACAATCCCAGTTATTCTGTTTCTCAACTACCTGGGTTTGTTTGGTTTTTTGTTTCATCTGAAAGGTTAGATGTGATCATTAAGGAGAAATCTCATTACTTCAGCTAGAAATATTAGAGAAATCATTCAATTGAAATAATGGAATCAGAGATCAGGTTAGAAAGGAATAAAAGCAACAAGAACATCAAAATCCAAACCCGCTTCCCGAAAGTCCATTCTCACCCTGGTGGCCCTGTAGGACAGAGAAGTTCCATGTAGGACTTCCTACGCTATAATTTTTATGGGACAAATAAATGGAGTATTTGGTGGGTTGGAACCAGCAGCCAAATGCTAAACACCGAGCCACCTGAGCTCCTGAAGAGAAACATGCAGAGGCGGATGAATGGGAAAATCAGTGGAATGCAGATATTGTTTATCAAGAGGATTCGTAACACCCTTGAGTAAAATTTAGCGGAGATAATTTTTCAAAATAATTGCAACAGTACATCAGCATGTAACTGCTGCCAAGAATTCAACTGAACTCCAAAGAAAATGAGGAATGAGGGATGTCATTGTTGATGTCCGATGGATCTTGGCTAAAAACAATATCAGCTATTACGTGTCTTTTCCTGACTATGCAAAGGCATGCCAACTATGGATCATAAAAAAATTGTGGATTACTTTGCTAAGAATGAGAACTCCAGAACACTTAGCTCGCAAGCAGAGCCTATAGATAGCCAAGAGGCAGCCATTGGAGCAGAACTTGAGGTGGAGGGCAGGGCACTGTGTAGTTTAAATTCAAGAAAAGTATGATTTGGGGTTGTACGTCCTGTCGCCATACTTAATTCAGTCTGCACAACTGGAGAAGCTGGACTGTATGAAAAGATGCAACAGTGCTGTAAATCAGAACCGACTCCCTGACGCCTACAACAGCTGTGGCCTTGCAGCACCCAGAAAGTAGATATTTGATCAATTTTATTGTCAGCCGCATTTTTCCCCCTTTTACCTCCTAGTAGAATGACCTGTTCGGGTACTATTTGTTCCTGTAGCAACAAACAGTTATGTAGCATGTTAATCCCAATGGAAGTGGCATCAGGGCTTGATTGTCCATCTCTCAAAAAAAAATGTATGAAGTGCTGCCCTTTTAGTCCAGTAGTAAGAAATGAGCAAGGTAGGCCATGCTGAGATAAAGAAATACCCTGACAGAGAGCTGTCTGTCTGTCCTAGAAACCCAGAGGAAATGCAAGGGTGGATAAACAAGATCAACTGCGTGGCCGCCGTCTTCTCTGCGCCACCATTTCCAGCAGCCATTGGCTCTCAGAAGAAGTTTAGCCGCCCCCTTCTGCCTGCCACTACAACAAAATTGTCTCAGGTAAGCCATGGCGTCGTCGGTGTCGGTGCTTTGGCCTTGGGGAGAAGTGCTCTGTCAAATAAGGTGGATATTGGCATCTGTATCTGAATAGTACTTCCATGTGGGGCGGAGAGAGACCCTTCCCTGGAGGGATGCCTTGTCTAAACGGCACAAAATGCACTAGATTGAGTTGTCTACTTGAGGAAGCTGGCAGTGTTGTTATTATGTTGGTAGGACACATTCATTGAATTTGTTTTCGAAGTGTTTATTCATTTACTAATCAAGCCATCAAGTTACCTGTTTGATTTCTCCTTTTCCCTCAACTACCAGCTCATATTTTCTAAGTGACTGGCTAACGTTAGAAATCCTTGCTTGATTACAAGCTGTTTGATCACTTGTTCATGCGTTCCATTTATTGAGCACCTACCTGCCCCCGACTGGGAAGATGCAAGCATCCCCAAGTATCCTCTGCTCACAGTGTGGTGGGGCGGAGCCTTCCCTGGTTCTCAATGCAGAGCTAAGTGGACTACGGGGTTTTCTAAGCTAATTCAGACAAAGTGCACAAGAACGCTGTTCAGCTTCGCTTCTGATGCCAGATATTTCCAGACCCCAAATTTAAAACTGCTTTGGGGACACTGGTGGGTTGGAATCAGCTCAATAGCCATGAGGTTATTTTTTGTCTGTCTGTTTAGAGAGTATCTGAAGGGGCCAAAGTCAGTCATATAACACACAAGTCAGGGGTGGCAATTTTCAACCTGTGTGCAGGGGCTGTTATTCAGAATCAAGTCAGCAGCAGTGGTCTTTTGGGGTTTGGCCAGCAGATACTTGCCATTGGCGAGATCAGGTATTTGGTAGTGACTTTACTATCCCTATTTCTTGTTGCTGCAAATAGATCATCTGACAGTAATCAGCCATATCTTAGTGTTAAGTGACCCTTTGCACATCTCTGGGATCAGTGGCATCGGGACATATTTATTTTACAAGCATGTACCATGTGCCTACTGTGCATCAGAGACTGTTTTAGGTTCTGGAAAGGCAGAGGTAAGCAAAGTCCAGAACCTTTTCTGAAGGGGTGTCAAGGACAAATAAGTAAATAGTTGTAATGCGGTTTGATCGGTGGTTCAGGAGAGTATGTTGAGGAAGAGGGAGGGTGAAGAGAAGGGCTATCTGGCCTGGTCTTGGAAGCGCAGTGGTGCCCAGAGTGAAGCAAACAGGATGGGCATGATTGGGCAGGGTGTAGGAAGAGAGAACGCAGTGGTCCAGCAGAGGACACGGAACGCAGGACCCACACAGAAGCCTCTGGTGTGACATGAGCTGAGAGGGTTGAGGAAAGCCAGGCTGTCCCTGGGTGGAGGGAAGCAAGTGTCTGTTCGTCCCGTGTAGGCTCTTGTGTGCTTCTCCACTTCCCCAGCGTGCTCAGGATACAGTTCAAGCAGGAAAGTAATGTGTTCCACTTTGTGCTTTGAAAATCAGTTTCACAATGAGAAGAAAATTTTGGAAAAGGATCACATAAAGGCATCAGGGCAACTTTAGAGGTTCTTTCAGTAATGCAGAAGGATTGGTGGTGCAAGTGAGCAAGTGTGGGACTACTAACCACAGGGTTGGTGGTTCAAACCCACCAGCTGCTCCACAGGAGGGCGCTGAGGCTGTCTGCCCCTGTGCAGATTTATAGCCTTGGAAACCCTGTATAGGATCAGTGTGAGTAAATATTGATTCAACAGCACTGAGAGTTTGGTTTGGTAATCCCGAAGGGAAGTAACTGTTAGTTTTAGAAGAGGCAAATAGAAGAAGAAGTAGAAGTACTTGAGAGATCTTCAGGGTACAGAAGGGATAGTTCTGGCTGGAGGTGGGAGAGAAAACGACATGTCTTCTGGGACTGGGCAGCTGGAGATACACTTTTCTCTGACCTACCATTAGGACATCACATCTCTTGCTGTCTCCCTACTGTGGCTGCTCAGAGTCCATTCCTGGATTTCCCCTCTTTCCCACCTCCAAATGTTGCTTAGCAGTGGATCATACGAATATGTGAGAGACTTGGGTTTTGGGGGCTTTTTTAAATAATTACTTTAGCTGGGGGAAAGCAGGGAGATTTTGTTGTGCCAAGAGAAAGGAGCAATAAATCCAGAAAAATAAATAAATTAAATTTTATAAATTAAACTATGACCAAAAATAAATAAATTAAAATGGGTCAGAAAAAGTGCCACAGACCATTGGGTACTGCTGGTGAGATCAGATTTGGTGATGTATCAGGAGCAGAAGCCACACTGGGCTTCTCTGCTGAGCGTATGAAAGAAAGGTTGTAGGAAAATAGAGGCGAGGAATGAGGGAAATTCCTGCCATGACGCCAGAGAGAGACTAGAAGAGAGGAGACCTGGTTTGAGGGTTTTGTTTTAAATTACTGTGTTGTGACTGCTTGCTATGCGAGCATTGCGATTGCTGTGTATTTCATATACTAGTTGAAACACTGTTAAGATAGAAAGGATCAAGGTAGCTCAATTTATTGGGCAAAGTGGCAAAGTAAATATTTTAGTGAAAGAGGGAAAGGTTATTTTTTAAAATCATTTTATTGGGGGCTCATACAACTCTTATCACTATCCATACATACATCCATTGTGTCAAACACATTTGTACATATGTTGCCATCATCATTTTTGAAATATTTTCTTTCTATTTGAACCTTTAGTATCAGCTCATTTACCCCCTCCCCCCCCCATGAACCCTTGATAATTTATAATTCTTTTTCATGTCTTAAAAACTGACCATTGTCTCCCTTCACCCACTTTTCTGTTGTCCATCCCCATGGGACAGGGTTAATTGTAGATCATTGTGATTGCTTCCACCACCGCCCCCCTTACCCTTACCCTCATGGTATCACTACTCTCTTTATTGGTCCTGTGGGGTTTACCTGTCCTGGATTCCCTGTGTTTCTAGCTCTTATCTGTGCCCGTGTACATGCTCTGGTCTAGCCATATTTGTAAGATATAATTGGGGTCATGGTTGGGGGTGGAGGAGAGCATTAAAGAACTAGAGGAAAGTTGTTTTTGTCAGTGCTATATAGCACCCTGATTGACTCATCTCTTCCTTGTGACCCGTCTGTAAAGGGATGTCCAATTGTCCATAGATGGGCTTTGGGTCTCCACTCTGTACTCCTCCTCATTCACATTGATAATGATTTTTTGTTCTGGGTCTTAGATGCCTGATACGTAATCCCATCAACACTCATCCCATCAAAAATAAAGGCCTGTGTGCTTCTTCCATGTGGACTTTGTTACTTCTCAGCTAGATGACCGCTTGTTTATCTTCAAGCTTTTAAGACCCCAGACACTATACCTTTTGATAGCTGAGCGCCATCAGCTTTCTTCACCACATTTTCTTATGCCACCCACTTTGTCATAGTGATCATGTTGGGAAGGTGAGCATCGTGGAAAGCCAGTTTAATAGAACAAAGTGTTTTTGCATTGAGTAGAGGCCCAATGTCCATCTGCTACCTTAATACTTAACATATAAATATATGTACATAGATCTATTTCCCTATCGTTATCTATAAACATATTTGCATATGTACATGCCTGTATTTAGACCTCTGTAAATGTCCTTTGCCTCCCAGTTCTTTCCTCTATTTAAGAGGGAAGGTTGTACCGTTCTTTTTCCTCGTGACAAGAAAGCACGTTGGCTGACTTCTCCATATGCTTAATATGAACTTAAGTAAGCAGCTGCATTTTCCTCCTTCCAACAAAAACCATACAGAAAGGGGAGAAGATAAACAATTAAACAGAAATCACCTTCAGGGTTTTTCCCTCATATTAATAATCACTCTCTGTAATCCATGGAGAAGATGAGTGGAAGCTATCTTGAATGTTTTATGTAGCTTAGAGCAGCATGGAGAATTTTTCTGGGTCTTTACTCATGATGGGATTTATGGTTCTGTTTACTTTATGACTTGAAAAATATGCTACGGATCTATCTGTATGAGCGATATACCATTAAGCCACTTGAGCATGAAAATGAATGTGTATGGATCTATGCATCTGCAAGGGGCCAGTCAGGCAAGCATTTGTAACAGGACAGAGCACCTATTTTAAACAAATGTCTTAAACTGGAACTAACCCCATGGGACATACATTTTTAAATACATCTTCCTCACTTTGGACCTAAAACCATAGAAATGCCAAGAAAATGCCTACCTAGTATCATCAAAGTGGTAGATTGAGGATTTTAAATAAGAAAGCAGTAACCAACCTGAAGCGTCCTCAAATGACACAGCAGACAGGATGGCTGAGCTCCTTCGTGCATTTGTTTCTCTGGAAAGGGATGCAGACAACCCCATAGAAAACCCGGCCTTTGTGTCCCTTTTCGACATCCAGACGATGAGAAGATCGTTTACAAAGTCTCTACATTTCTTTCTAGCACTAACTCTGTCTTACTTCTTTGCCCAGGTCATGAGTTTAATGGTTTTTTTTACCAAAAATGAAAGGATTGGCGGGGGGTTGGGGGGAGGATGTTTTTGCATTTGAGAGCCTTATATGAATTTAGGAAGAAATATGGGAGCCCAAGCTCATGATAAAGTATAGGTTAGAAAGATCAAGGAGAGAGCTGGTATTACACAGCCTGATGCAGGTGTTCGGGGTACCGTCTGCTTCATATAAAGATTCATGGAGATGTGGTGTCTGTGCTGGAATCCTGAAATATATGACTGGATACGCCCCTTCGCCCTCCAATATCTGGCACACTAGCCTGGATTACTGAGACCAGGATTCCTCAGCCTTGGCCTTATGGACATTCCAGGCGGGATCGTTTTAATTGGGCAAGGCTATCATGTGCAATGTGGGCTGTGTGGCAGCACCTTCAGCATCAACCCATTAGGTGCCAGTAGCCCCCAGTTGTGTGACATCTGCAGACATTGTCACCTGCCCTGTGGGGTCAAAACTCTGCTGAAATCTTTGTTGTTGGTTGCCAGTGAGTTGACACTGGCTTATGGTGACCCCATGTTTACAGAGTAGAACTGCTCTGCTGGGTTGTCA